ATTCCATTCCTCACTCACAGGTCATCCCAATCCCTTAGTATCCCAACTTTCCTCTACCAAACTTCCCAATACTCCACACCGCCAACTGCAACCCTGTTGGCCTCGTCATCTTAAGTCGAGTGATAGCGAGGATAAATGCCGGCAATTTATTATCATTGCAAAAGCTGGAATTGACTGTGGGTTGTGAGAAGTGATAGGCTTAACTCTGCACATGTTTGTATGCATGTACGTACATGCGCGGAAACAAATCGGTATCTTCATTTGCTGGCGTAAGTTACTAATACTATTTATACAATACTATTTATACTATTAATACTTTTTATACATTCAAATGTTACCTAATAAACATCATTAGTATTGTTATTATAATAACTTAGATAAATTTCCAAGTCTTTTAAACATGATATGTTACAGAAAAATAATTAAATAATACGCCCGCTCTTAAGGATATATATATCAAGAAAATAGGAAAACCAGTGGCCATTCACAAGCCAGGAGAGAAATTAAATCGTCCGTTTCCGGATCGGATTAACAATAATAATGGTCCGGATTACGGCAAGAGAGCTTTAAGTGATCAGTTACCAACCAATGAGAGTAATTAGTGAGGTCGGTTACTTGACTCGGTGGGAAGCCGGGCATTAATTTCCTTCAGCTAATATCCAATACAAATTCTTCTCAACGGCCTTTAAATTTCTTCAGCTGGCTTTTCCTTTGCCTTTTTTAATCTTTTTTACAGCCGGTTTTTTCTGAATGCAATCGAAACGGCAGTGAAATTGTTTGCTCCGAGAGAAAGGGTTGTTCGCATTATCGTTTTTGCCCCCGGGCCGGGCAGGGGAAGAGCTAAGTGCCACTAAACGAGCACTATAAAAGAAAGTGCTTAAACAATTTATTAGTAGGGAAAGAACCCTAATACCGTCAATGGGAAAACATAAGTGATTTCACCCCTGTTTCTTAAACGAGATTTATGGCAGGTTCCCTTATCCATAGAAACAAATCATTGTTAAACGTAATACAACCTATGTTATGATGTTAAACAGATTGTTATGGTATTTTTTTTTAAATACAAGAAAATAAGCACAATCTTGTTCATACAAAATAGCGATACCAGTGTAATTCATATTTGAAACATGTTGGTGGATGCCATTGACCCTAAACTTTTTCTCGTATTGCTTACAGTATTTCACATTTTCCTATCCCTTTTTTCTTTTATCTCTTTCCTTCTGCTATTCAGTGAAGCTTTCTCTCGCCACTTTCGTTTCCTGCTTGGTGGTTAGGGATAGTTAGGGAAGGTGGAAGTTTAAAGTATGTGTGGGGGGAAAGAGCCGAACGACTCGCAGTAAGCTTGCAGTCGGACTTACGCATTCGAGATTAGAATTCTTTTAGAAAATAAATTTTAAGGACTTTCTACAGTCTATATAAAAAAAAGTAATATAAATCCTAAAAAATAAACGCTTTTAACGTTAGAAGTGTTTACCACTTTTTCCCTTACGAACACTCGGATTAAAGTATAATCTTGAAGAAAAAAGGAAATTCAGTTGTAACTGCCAAACTTTCCGGTTACAATCATTGGCAATGTTAAGGTTGAGTCGGAATCAAAAAAAATTGAGATCGCCTCTAAAAACTTAAATATATCAATACCTATACATATTTAAGATTGTTTTGCCCTGATGTTGACCTCAAAATAGGTCGAAAGCTTGGCGTAACAACTGAATTTCTTTTTCAAATTTCAGCAATTTGCAGCATTCAAGAAAATAAAGCCAACATTTCAATAAACATTACATTCACATAAAGTTAATATGTACGATTGAACTCAAATGAAAAAACATAGTACGAACAAATCATAACCAAACAGGCATAGAAACATGGATTAAAACAGAAATTAGGGCACTATTCATTAAAAAAGACAAATTAATTAAACATCTACTTGGAAACAAGAAATTAAGTAACTAATACTCTCACCATCATCAGTAACAGAAATTTTACTGAAAATATGTGAAGACAAAAAATCAACAATTTAAATAAAAAAACCCTAAACAAAAAGCTCACTCACCTACACTTAATACCACCGTACACCACACGCGTTATCCTACAAATAAATGCCCCTGAAATAGCATTTTTATCTATTTTCTTTGGGTAATAATTATCGACACAGTTGAAAACTTACATTTGCATTTTCTGGGATATTTGCTTTTTCCCCCGCTGTCGAAGGTAGATTGTCAGGGAAATGTTGTGAGCACGTAAAGCAGACGGTTAAACATCGACTAATGGCTGGTTTTATACTCGTCGATGTTAATAGAAGGCAACGGGCAAAAACTGGTCTAGCATGCAGACCCGGGAAAAACGGAAGGCACGATATTTTCCTAACGACGGTGGTCAGGAATTAAAAAAAAAACAGGAGCGATCGGGATCTCTTGGAATTAAAAAACGCCTTTTACCTTCACGCGAATCGTTATGCAGACGCCGCTGTCCCTCAAGAGCACTCAATGGTTTCCCATTTTAATAATTTCGATAATAATGCTCGAAAATAACTTTAATATTCTATAACGTTTATTAACTTTTATTAATATATTTTCGAACCGATAATGATTAATTAAAGTAATTAATTTTAAAGGTCAATTAATTTTTTCTTCTTGCTGTTGCTTTATGAATATTTAGATTGTTTTTAGTTCTATGAAAATTTCGTTACCTGTATTTAATCTGAACATTTTGATTAAAGGACTTGAATGTTGAAAACTTGAGTTGTTAATCAAACTAAAATATGAAATAACTTGTTGTGTCGATGTTTATAAATTATTTAGTTGTTAATAGAGCTTTTTTCATGAATAAGTTTTAATGTTTTTACTCCAAAAGGTACGGAAAGTATTTTAAAAATTAATTCTTGTTTTGATACGAGTTAAGGTAAATATTTGTTAGATATAATGAAGATGGGTATCACGAATAATTATATTGATTAAGCATTCAATCATGATTAAACATCACATAGATGGATGTTCAGCACTAGGTATAGACTACATAACCAGATCAACTGAACCTGGTCTTGCGCAAAGACTCAGCTCCCGTAAATCCGGGTCATGGGGGGGGTCCCATGTCGATTTTAACCATAACTGTTTTAACTAAACAAAACATGATGAAAATATTGTCGGAAAATCCCTCATTATTTTAGGAATTATTAAATCACTTTTCATTATAGATCCAATCAGTCATGGTAATGGGTGGCAGAATTTTAATAAAATTTATGAACTCGTAGTTCCTCACTGATCATGGCGTACAGCCGAAACTCGTTTAATTGACATCAAAACGACGTGAGTTGAAGACCCATGTCATCATATACACATACAGATTATTACATTAATTCTCACAATTATCATAAACTTCCAGAGATTTTTCGCAGTAAATTAGGGATGAGGAACTACTGAGATTAAATAAGTGATTGTAGGTGTGCCACAAGGGTCAATAGTTGCTCGCTGTAGTACACAGTTTCAAGCCCACAGATGAGAATGCATTACAGCTATCATTCGCAAATAGCACCGCGTTATAAAGGAGTAACCCTTCGACTTCACATTTTCTTTTGCTACAAAATCACCAAATTAATACTTTATAACAAAACGAAATAAAGTTTATCTCCTCAAAGTCCCGACACATAACATTAAACTCCGCTGTGAGACTTGGTGTACTTTACTTTTAATAGTTTTATACTTTTAGAGCAAACCTGTTCCTCCATCTTAAAAATTACCCTTTAGAACTCACATATGATAGAAGAGTAACAAAGAATCTGCACACACGATTTAAAAAGAAAATCACTCAACAAATTATTTGAAATTCCTTAACACCAGACAAACCGACTAAATTACCATTAACATCAAAACTTTCGAAATATACATACTCAAATCTATATGGATGTAGAGGTGTCAAGTTTATGAATCGACTAAATTTTGAAAAATTCAAAGACATAATGTTTTCAATCAAACACTATATAAACAACGTTCTTTTATGTAACATTTTATTTGGACAATAAATACACAGAGAACTTCACGTGTTAACGGTTTTTTCCTTTATCAAAACCTGTTACAAACGTTTTCAGAGTAAGTTGCCGGATCACACAAGCACAAATTGACCAAAATTACCCCGTTGATAACTGACAATAATATGGATCAGAAACCTCTGAAGTGATTAAAAAGAGGATGTCAATGAGTAGTTTCCTAAACAACACCACAGTTGTGTATAATAATTATACAGTGTAGATAAATAAATGAGTTAAAATAGCATGAATCACACCAACTAAAGAGCACTTTGACCTATTCCAACTATTAAGAGTCGTTCTTGGTCAGCATTACATATCATATTTTTAAAAATACATTTTTTAAATGATCAATTTTTTCAATAATTTTAATTTTATAAAATGTTCGGCTTGTAGAGCTGTACACAAGTTGAAAATTAAAGACAATTTATAAAGAACAAAGTAAACGAATGTGTCTATCACTGTTAATCAATATTTATTTTGATCAAATACAACTGTTAGCATTAAGGGAATTGTGATTAATTTGGCTCGACTCGTCATTATTTTCTATTTATATTGATACATAATTGTGTATTTGGTTTTGTCCATAAATATTTATTTAATAAAGTAAATGTTCATGATGCTAACTTGAGTTCGAAAGAGAACAGCGACAAAATGTCGAATCCATATCACACCTCCCTAAATTGGCTATACTTTGTTTATGTTGAATCTGAGAGTGAAAGGAAGTGAGATTTCATGGGTCAAGCAATCGGCAGACCGGTCCCTTCGCACTTTGATTTATAACGGGGGTCGTGCCCGAAACTCGGCCCTGTGTCCTTACAAGAATCTTTTACGAGATTCCCCGTCTCGGACCGTCCGCAAATGGGTTATGGAAAGTGGCCGTCGTGACTGGAATCCGGGCGGGATGTTCCATACTATTTCAGACGGTGAAAATATCCTATCAGATTGCGGCTAAAAACGTTTCCAAGGGTTCGTGTCTTACCTTGCCGAGGCCGGAAATTTCCTTGGATCCGAGACGTCTGAGCAGAGGAGGAGGTATAGGGGGCGGATATTTGGATAGAGCCTGACTGAAGCCGTCGCCATCCCCTGTGAGTCGTTTCTTTCGATGTGGCGAACTTCCCAGACTCAACTTGGCCGTGGCCCTGAAACCAAACAAGCAATACATCCACTTCAGCAATATTTTTACTAAATACAAATATGTATAAACCATTATTTTGGGCATATTTGAATGCTCACTGACTCTCTCCATTTCTTAGTGCTAACAGGAGAGTACAGAGGCTGCCCTCGACCAATGTAACATGTATTTCTGAAACCCGTTATTTCTTCCAGTATTTATACACAATATGATCGGTTATGATAATCATTTTCTAATTAAAAAATGAGGTTTCGATGATAAAAAAACGTTATTCCCTACCTACAAGAAAAATCGATTTCACATTTTCAACATGGAGGCCATAGACTACCTAGACCCGACACATTTTGACTTGTTGGCCAGACCTGGCTCCATGTGGCGTCGGTACGTCTGTCTTGACATTGCTTCAATAACATCAAATAAATTTTTGTAAATCGGCAAATGTTCGCTTTTCTGTGTAGAAAAATAGCATTAATAAATTAAGCTCTGACGGTGATTACGGTAGTATTTTAGAAATTTATATAGATAATCTTGTTTCCTTGCCGTCTACGCACAACTATCGCTCATTTTTACCAGTAAAAAAATTGATTATGTTTATGTAATAAATTTTTGTCATTACGTGGCGGTAATAAAAGCCGTAGATCACTGTTTATTTTAAAAGTAATAAAAACTTCACCGCGCTATAAAATTTAGCAAAAAAGTGGATGTGGCCCTACAAAAATTCAAATAATAATCTTAGACAACAAAGCAATTCAGATTCTAAATAGGACATGTATAGATTATTTAATAATGCCATCTATGGTAACACCAAGTAAAATATTTGAAAACGATTGACTATAAAACTTGTTTCTGGAATGCCACAAATTGAAAAATACGTGGCTCGACTAGATTTTAAAGTAATGAGTTTAAATGAAAATTTTGGCTCTGCCCACGTACACAAAAATCAATTAAATTGAACAAACAAATATANTATATATATATATAGGGTTTGCCGTTTCGAAAATTGTAATGTATGTTGCTATTTCGCCAAATTTGGAATTGAGAAAAATACATTACTTTTTACTGATATGGGTTTTTTTTCTATATAAAATCATCGACTTGTACTCACATTTTCTAGAAATATGTGATCACTTGGATGTCGCACTATAGAATGTAATAAAAAATCCTTATGTTGTTTGGATAATAAGAGGCGTGACCATGGTATACATACTAAAAGCATAATTTTAAAACCTTAGTTAATAATAGTAATATGAACACTACTTGTACATAATACTTGAAAACGTATTGTTATAAAATGTATTTTGTTTTATACATTTGTTCATTTTATTTACTTTGTTGTACTTATTTAATTATTCCTAAATTTAATAAAACGTTTGTTCTGTGAATTTTCATTTTTTATTACATACAATTTGTACAAAGCATACCGAAATAGAATGTAACAATAAACAAATAAAATATGTAATAAAAAATAATTTGCCTTTTCTTTTTTCAATATGTTTCATGAAACGATACCAAGGTAATTGGCGTGATGGTAACCCACTGTAAACATCATTACTTTATTAAATATTTTTTCAATCAAACCTTCTCGATGTATCTCCTTTTTGACATAATGAAGGTTTTAAAGAAATAATTAATTAAGGTTTTTATCTCAACTGAAAACCTTAATTAATTATAATATATTAATTTGTCAGGCGGACCACGAAATTAGTGAATTTAATGAGTTTTAAAGAAAGATAGTTACAAAAATTTCAATAAAGGCTCATCTTTGTTTAATCATTGAAAAACTGAGTTGAACCCTTTCGAGAGGCTTTCTTAATATATAATATCATAAATCTGCGTTCTACCCTCAGTTATCATTGTGCGCTTTAAGAAGACCTATGTTTATCAATCAGAAATGTTGAGTCGAATCAGAAGGAAACCAATATATTAAGTGTAGTCTTTTATTATCTAGTAGCGTGAAATGTTTAATTTGTCTCATTCCCAATTGTGAAAATAATTGAATATTAACTTTGATGTATAATATAGTTATTTTGAAACTTTAGCAAATCTATTAATAAGCCAAAATATGTGTAAATGAAAAACATTTTCTCCACAGTAATGAAATTCGTTAATTTTTGTTTGAAAATAAACTAAGTATACTAGCCAACGATGCGCTTCCCAATACCATCGTTATACAATATTTGACGACATTGCTTGTGAAAAGCAGGATCGGATTAGATCTATTTTTGCATGGGTCTGCATAGTGGTATTTGGCCTGGATTTTTATTTGCTTCCGATGTCCTCAATTTCACCTGAAACTTCTTAACTCCTAATAGTTTTATCCTCATTTAACATTATTAGAATTATTCCCGCTAGAAAACAAAACATTTCTTCTTCAAGCTTCTGTCATGTTTAAGAATTTTCTAATGTTTGTTTTTTTCTCAAAAAAACAAAAAAAAAACAGCACAAACGTAATTGTATTTAAATTTTTAGTATAGTAGCAATTCTTATTTAAATGCATATATCGTGCCTACAAAGAAGACGAATTGTTTTTGAAAGCGTCGTTATATTTTGATACCTGTAAATTTAATTTTTAAAATTTAAATAATGTCTGTACGCATGAAAACTATTAGGAACAGCCGCTACATATACTTTAAAAGATGATTTTTTAAATATTGTTTACTGAATTTATGATATAGAAGAGAAGGTTTATTGTCTTAGAATTTCAATCACGCCGTTTCTTTGTCCCTGGTGTTTAATATTTACAGCAACACTGTAGCTAAATTAGACAATTGGCGTGTCATTGATCTGAATATTTCCTTTATTTGTCAATAGACCGATCCTTCTCAGAGCACGGACTTTTACACCTGCGAAGAGATTTCTAACGTTTCTAAGCTTCACGTTTCCAAAAAAATTGTTCCTTTATATTTTGCAACAGCGCATTCTCAAGTATGCCTTTATCTTTCCCATTAGGTGTTTATAATATATAAAGTCTCTATGTTTGTTCTGTCTTATCTGAGCAAGTCGACAGTACAATGGCCCTGTCAGTATCCTAATATTAAAAATGAAACATCCTCAGTTATGCTCTTATCTTGAATTTTTCCGTGAAGTACCGTGAAGCACTTTCATTCTCTTTGCATACTTAAAAGACGATTTTTGTTTGTTTTCCCGTTCACCCATACAAACGCGCGCGCGCACACACACACACATACACACTCTCACTCATTATCTTTTTCCCTATCTATCTATCTGTTCATTTTTCTATCTATTTCTCGTTCCCTATACCAAAATATCATTGAAAACCGAGCAAAAGTGAATAGGGATATTTGTAAGTAACTCTCATTCTATTAATTTTAAATAAATTAACCGATACATACTTGTTAGTTGATAAAACAAAATAGAAAACAAAAAATTGTAGAGAACTTTGAGACGCCTTGCAGCAATAGCCTGCCACCAGCAACTCAGTAGAATATGGTGCAGCGAGTGCTAGAATAGAACACTAACTGGAATGTTGTTATGGTTACTGATTAGTCGCAATTCTGTCTGTGTAGTGACAGCAGAAGGAATTGGAACTCACAGGTAGAAACACGAATCATCAGTAAACATAACAGCATTCCAATTGTTGTTCTCTTCTAGGCAGTCGCTGCACGATATTCTCCTGAGTTGCTGGAGGCGGGTTGTTGCTGCAAGTCATCTCAAGGTGGCATACGATGTGAGGCCAACATCTCACAAACGATTTCGAATTCGTAATCGTTTGTGCTGATGAAGGCCTTGCAAATACTTTTTCTACTTCATTTAGGATCTGGCGAATGACAATATTTCTGTCCTCTATTATATCTAATTCACTTTTCTTTCACTCACTCTCTCTCTCTATCTATCTATCTATCTATCTATTTTTCTCTTATATATATCTCCCTACCTATTTCTTACTCTCTCTCGTTCTTCCCTTCACCCTTTCCCCCCCTTTATCACTCTCTCTCTCTCTCTATCTCCTTCTCCCCCTTAAACTTTTCCTTTCTCATTATCTATCTCTGTATGTTTATGTGTGTCGAGTTGTAATTACTAGCTTGACTAATAAGAAAGATTAAAAAAACGAATATAAACAATTTATATATACATATGTACACAACACACACACACACACACACACACACACACACACACACACACACACACACACATGTATTAGCCCTCCTATCGCGTGAAGTTAATTCAATAGAATTGTCGAATTTATAATCTTTGCTCCGGTAACCTCGTGTTGGTAATTAATTCAAAAGGCATTATGACGACATCTATATTCGTTTTATTGCACCTATTGGTACCTAAACTTGGGTGGTTGCAGTAAAGTCAATATCCACCGGAACAATAACAAACCTAACAAAGGCACCGGCAAACAGAGATAACGCCGACATATGCACACCACCCTTCACGACTTTTGGAAAGAAACTTGACTTCAAAAATTTACCGAGGCGCAGTTGCCAAAACGCGTCTGACAGACCAACCCAGTTAGAATGTCAGACCACGATGACCAATGATCGGCAACGAACGAATTTCAGATTTGTCATCCGGCAGACCACGGGAGAAAATCTCATATTGGATTATTGTAATAATTTATCAAGAAAATGTCTCTTCGCCAGACGAAATTATTGTCTTCGTATTCATTATTCCGTTCTAAAGCAATGATGGATCTCCAATCCCCTCTCACAATTAAAATGCTAATAAACTCGTGGTTGGAAGAAAAAATCCTTCGTTTTGAAAGTGCTCTTCGTTCCGCATGGCTTTTCAAACGGTGCGTCGTCGTCACGCGACGAACCCTAGGCCGGATGTTTGTATTTCATTACGTGTGAAATTGTGTTTCACGGTTGGTGAAACTGTGGCCGCCTCGTATTCCACTTTGTCCTCACCGGAACAAGACCACCGGGGAGGCGAATTTACATTATAAACAAGGGCCCATCCTCAAGGGGGGGGGAGGGCCTTACGCCTTTTTTTCCAAACCTGAGTCGCAGCAAATTGTTAACATACCTCTCCATC